CCTTCCTTCCTTCCTTCCTTCCTTCCTTCCTTCCTTCCTTCCTTCCTTCCTTCCTTCCTTCCTTCCTTCCTTCCTTCTTAATGAAATATAACAAACAAATCAAGTGCTAACCCAGTAAGAAACTACAAATGTAAAAGTGGTTAAAATAACATCTTGGCAAGGGGAAAAAATAACTTAGGAAAAAAAGAAACAATAAACTCCAGACGATAGCAATATAAAATGAATTTAGTCCTACACATTCTTATTATATGTAGACCATATGGGAACCCATTGCTCCATTTTTGCATTTTTAGAATATAAAGGCATTGCAAAAATGGATAAAGAATACCTATCTTGAATTTGTTCCTTAAGATAGGGAGTATAGATCTGTAAATTCACAGATGGACACGGCACCCCTTGGTAATTTATCTCTAAAACAGCAGCTCACTTTGGGGTACAAAGAGGGGGCAAGAGATTCCAGTGTTCAAAGAGAGACCACCTTAACAAACTCACAATTAAAAGAAGGCAAAGATTCCTACCACCATTTCCACCTGGGCCCTCACCCTTGTATTAAAACTCTTAGTTCAACTCAGCGGGATTCTCCTTTTCTGGATCATGTTAGGAACGAACAACCAGCAGCTAACCAAAATAATTCTGTTACAATTGGGAAACGGGGTGCTGATTCCAGCTGGAGCTGGCTCTGCTTGCAAGCCTAAAGCCAAATCGTGGGTTGCGTGACCTTCATTCGGATGCTGTTCTGAACACCCACGGAAGGGATGGGGTGTCCCAGGGTCCCCTTGGTAGAGGCACGCGTTTGCAAGCTGTCTTGGCCGTTACAAATTAGCAGCGATCTTCCTGCTTCAGCGGCTTTGCTTTCAGTCCGTGCAATCGTTTTTCGCCCAAACAGGAGATCTGCATCAGCTACCTAGACTGTTGCCAGAGAGAACGGAGCCGACACAGCCGGTGCAAAATCCTTCAGTGAGTGAGGACAATGTTCCCGTTGGAAAATCCTGTTGCTTTGAACGCTGCCATGTTTGATCATGATGTGTTTTCCCAATGTGTGCCTCGGTTAGCAACATCCACGCGTGTTGTAATAATGCTTAGGCTTTGCCTGGGGCTTTTATGCAACCAGGATCTAGTTGCATCTGTTACAACAGCCCTATAAGGTAGGCTGCTTTTCTGATTCCCTGGATTTGCAGCCTGAGTGGGACCATGGCGCACCTTTCTTAGGTTGTAGCTCAGCTGGTCTTCAGCGCTGTCGTGCACCAGTTCATGGGGCCTGGTGGGATTAGGAGACCAGGGTCAGACCCTCCCTTTGAAGAGCTTCTGCAAAACATTGTGGGGAAGGAGTGTTGGAGGGAAAAAAAGCAGAGATGAGTTGAAGGGTTAGAAGGGAAGAATGTAAGAATATAAATACAACTAAATAAGATGAAGAGAGGGGCAAAACATCGGGGAGATGGAAGCTGCTAAGGCAGGATGTGAGTTTCCAGGATAAAGGGCCAGAAGAACAATGACCCCCCTCCGCAATTAAAAGGGATCTAGACCAGTGTTTCTCAAACTTGGCCGCTTTAAGATGGGTGGACTTCAACTCCCAGAATTCCCCAGCCAGCATGGGGAACTCTGGGAG